TAAAAATAAATATTTGAACCTGACCTTCTCCTGCATTTCCAGCAGTCCAGTTATCCCCATTCATTTGCAGTGCACTATAGTATTTATAACAGAAGTAGAACATCTTCACCTAATAGTGAATATAGAAGTTTAAGGTATATATAGTAAAAAGTATAATAGAGTGTAACTTCACTTTATACAGTGTAAACGTAATAATGATCTAACCAAAAATCTGGTCTGTCTCTTCTGAATCCCATCATTGAACTTGAACCTCTGCTGGTGTTCTGAACCTGAACGTTTCCCCTCGGTACGTTAGCACCAGCAGGGGTGATGCCGTGCCTCAGCCCGAGCTCGCGGAGGTGTTTGCGGACTGCGTCGTATTGCTTGCGCTGCTTGTGGATCTCCGTAGCGGCGTCCATCTAAGACTCACCCGTTGGTTTTTTTTAGAGGATATCCATTTTTGCTTTAGATGCTTTGAATATCATATCCTTTTGTTTATAGTTAAGGAACCGCATGATTACAGTTCTTGGGGTGCTTCTGCATTCCTTTCGGGCCAACGCGATAAGCTCTTTCCAGAATCAGGGGATTTCTCAGAGGAGACAACTCCAACACGTCTGGTAACCAGCTTTCCAAACATCCACAGGCATCGGAGCCATCGGGGAGATTCACCAATCTAAGGTTGCTAAGGCCAGATCTGGTTTCCATGTCGGCTAATTTTTGCTCCATTAGCTTCTTTGTTTCCTCCAAGCTCTTAACTTTGGTAATTAGCGACATTTGTTCATCTTCCATTGTGGATAAACGTTTCATACCTTCACCCACTTCTTTCCTCCCTGCCTCTATAGCTGTCACGCTATCAAACCTTCCAGAAATCTCAGATTTTAAGTTCTTTATCGCTCCAAGTATATCTGCAGTGTCACTGTTGTTCATTTCGCCGCTGTTAGCTGCTAGTCCTTTATCATGCGTTTTTGCTAGCCTTGTTTGCTAAGCTCCACATTTAGTGAGCCGTAGTCCATCAGCTTGGATTGCGTAGTTGTTTCTGACCTATCTTTGTTCGGTCTTCCAGGGCCTGGCATAGTTTCATCCAACTCAAACTTAGTTATCGTTGTTGTAGCATCCAGTCATTTTTAAAAGGGAATTTTCAGGATTTTGGTCAGGAGCAGTGTCGAACGCCACCTTCTACCTTGCGGTCATACCCGGAATCCGATCATTGCGTCTTTGCTCCATGTTTTTCTCCCACACTGTTTATGCTGCACCTTAGGAAATGTTAGTTTCACTGCTAAGCTGCTGCTCATTTACTGTCTTTTGTTTACACTCTGTGTACAAAATGGCAATAAAGGTCGTTTAAGTCTAAGAAAGTCAAGGCCAGCATAAAGTGGAGCGATAAGAAGGAAAAATCAAGCATATTTCATTATAGAGATATTTCTGCTCCCATGTTGGTCAAATCGTTGCCATGGTACCAAGATGTCCGATCAGAGTCATCTTCAACAGCAGAGGAGCACTAAGATGTCTCCTCAGGTGTAGCACGGGGGAAGAACCCGGATTGGGACAGAGGACCTGGTCCTAGAGCAAACTGGTAGACCTCTAAAGATAACACCAAGTACCTTAGGGTCTCCCAATTAAAGGTACAGAGGGAGGTCTGGCTTAGACTGATGAAACAGAAATAGTACACAAAATATATTTTATTTATACATTCTTTTACAATTAAAAATAAACTTTATTATTCTAATTTAAACTCAATAAGGCACAGGAACCCGTGACACCACTAGAAGACATCTGAGACTTTAGGAATACACCACAAAACAAATCAGTGGCAACACACGATAATGACGAAAAATAACGTTAAACGAAAGAAAACAAATCTCGCATTGCGTCATCCCAGTCCTGTAGAGCTATGGCAAATCAGCTAATTCAGCAAAATAGTGAACTGTCCTTCTGGCTCTGCACTACAACCGCAGCTCTAGAGGAAAACTATTAGCCTATTAGCCAAGAGCATCTAAAAAAATACACCTAGGTGAGAGCATTACATAACAGCAGCAATTTATCAGCCACAGAACCGGGTACATTCAGACACTGCAGAGAAACCCCCAAAAATCCATCCAGCAGCACCAACATCCAGGATCTGGGGGAAATGCTGGTGAGTATGCTTATGCTTATGAGTAGATCTTCTAGATCAGGGGTGGGCAATTCCAGTTCCTGAGGGCCGGTATCCTGCAAGTTTTAGATCCATCCTTGGTCCAACACACCTGAATCAAAGGCCTGACTTGCCTCCTCAGTATGCAGTCAGTTCCTTCAGTCCTCTCAATAATCTAATTACTTGATTCAGGTGTGTTGAACCAGAGTCACATCTAAAAGTTGCAGGATACTGGCCCTCAGGAACTGGAATTGCCCACCCCTGTTCTAGATCCAGCTCTACTGCTTTGAGAGTTTGCAAATATGGTGGTGCTTCAACAGGCGTCCGAACTGAAAGGATTTCTGGTGGTTCTGGTACCAAAGTCATGGATGAATCACTGCCTGCAAAGATCCAGACTCCACATCATCCTCAGTGTTCTCCTCTGGTGTCCTTTGTGGCCAACCATCATAGAAGGTCTCTGAAGGTGACTGAGGTACGATGCACTTGTCTAACAAAGTGAAGCTTATGAACTGGGGCAATTGAATAAACACCACCTGAACCTGTTGTCCTCGCAACTTTGTCTGGCCGTAGGGAGCGAAGCAGATTGAACATAGTTCGAATGAACCGTCCACATTGTCCATTTCCCTGTGGATGGTACGGCATGGTGCGACTCTTCTGAACTCAGTACAACTCACATAACTGTCGTACCAGGACACCTTCAAAATTCCTCCCCCGGTCAGAGTGGATACGGGCCAGCACTCCAGAACGGTAACACCACTCACGAACCAGGACCCAGGACGTTGTTGCTTTCTGATCACGAGTGGGGACTGCTTGGGTGAACTTCGACAATATATCTGTCCTCACCATCACCATCATGGGCTGATTCCAGAAGTGTAAAATCAAAGGCCAACAGCTGATCTGGTCTTGGAGCAAGAAGGTGACCCATAGGAGCTCAAACTCTTGGCTGGGTGTTCTTAGCAAGGGTACACCTCTCACACTGCTGGCACCAATCCTTTACATCTTTATCCACTCCTGGCCAGAAGCACCTCTGCTTCACCACATTAATCGTCCTCTCGACCCCCTGGTGGCCATGCTGTTGATGAAGCTTCTGCAACACCTTTGTTTTTAAACTCTCTGGGAGAAGAAACTGAAGAACTTCACCATCTGATCTCCACGTGCCTTCCTTCTGTTTTAGAAGTCCAAGAGCGCCTGGCCCTAAATGCTCCTTTTCAGCCCAGCTCGGCACTCTTTGCTGCTGCCTAAACTCCAGGAAGACTGAAATGGCTGGATCAGACCCTTGAAGCAAACACACATCTTCTATGCTGCAGGATGGAAGGGCAGTTCTTGCCAACCAGGCTGCATCCTCCTGCACCCCCCAAGACACATCTTTGACCTAGCATGTTTCGAAACAAGGAGATGAAGCGGGGCAGCCAGTTGAGAGAATCCCTCTACACACCTCCGGTAATAATTGTCAAACCACAGGAATGACCACAGCTCCAAGACTCCAAGTAGGATGAGGCCAGTTTGACACGAAATCTTGCCTGGATCTGTGGCTACACCCGCCTCTGAGATGCAATGTCCGAAGGAATGTTGGGTGCTATTCGCGGGTCTTGCTGTCAGGTTTTACAGTCGAGTGTAAATTTTGGGTGTTATTGCTGGGTTTTGCCAACGGATGTGAAAGTTGGGTGTTATTGTCGGGTCTTGCTGTCAGGCTTTACCATCGGATGTGAATGTTAGATGTTATTGTTGGGTCTTGTAGTCAGGTTTTACCATCGGGTGTAAATGTTGGTTGTCATTGTCGGGTCTTGCCGTCAGGAGGAATGTTGGGTGTTATTGTCGGGTCTTGTAGTCAGGTTTTACCATCGGGTGTAAATGTTGGTTGTCATTGTCGGGTCTTGCCGTCAGGAGGAATGTTGGGTGTTATTGTTGGGTCTTGTAGTCAGGTTTTACCATCGGGTGTAAATGTTGGTTGTCATTGTCGGGTCTTGCCGTCAGGAGGAATGTTAGATGTTATTGTCGGGTCTTGTAGTCAGCTTTTACCATCGGGTGTAAATGTTGGTTGTTATTGTCGGGTCTTGCCGTCAGGAGGAATGTTGGGTGTTATTGTTGGGTCTTGTAGTCAGGTTTTACCATCGGGTGTAAATGTTGGTTGTCATTGTCGGGTCTTGCCGTCAGGAGGAATGTTAGATGTTATTGTCGGGTCTTGTAGTCAGCTTTTACCATCGGGTGTAAATGTTGGTTGTTATTGTCGGGTCTTGCCGTCAGGAGGAATGTTGGGTGTTATTGTTGGGTCTTGTAGTCAGGTTTTACCATCGGGTGTAAATGTTGGTTGTTATTGTCGGGTCTTGCCGTCAGGAGGAATGTTGGGTGTTATTGTTGAGCCTAGCTGTCAGGTTTTACAGTCGGGTGTAAATTTTGGGTGTTATTGTCGGGTCTTGTGGTCAGGTTTTACCATCTGGTGTAAATGTTGGTTGTTATTGTCGGGTCTTGCCGTCAGGAGGAATGTTGGGTTTTATTGTTGGGTCTTGTAGTCAGGTTTTACCATCGGGTGTAAATGTTGGTTGTTATTGTCGGGTCTTGCCGTCAGGAGGAATGTTGGGTGTTATTGTCGAGCCTTGCTGTCAGGTTTTACAGTCGGGTGTAAATTTTGGGTGTTATTGTCGGGTCTTGTGGTCAGGTTTTACCATCTGGTGTAAATGTTGGTTGTTATTGTCGGGTCTTGCCTTCAGTAGGAATGTTGGGTGTTATTGTCGGGTCTTACAGTCAGGAGGAATGTTGGGTGTTATTGTCGGGCCTTGCTGTCAGGTTTTACAGTCGGGTGTAAATTTTGGGTGTTATTGTCGGGTCTTGTGGTCAGGTTTTACCATGGGATGTAAATGTTGGGTGTTTCCTTTCAGAGACAAACAGACGCAACAGATAAATTAGCGGTTTAATCTGGTCAGAAGCTGAGATCCTTTACACAAACAGGCCCACTTCCTCCAATAGGCACAGTGATGAGAAACAAATCTAAAAATATAAAAATCAAAGTCTCCATGGCAACAGAACCTCAATCTACCAGCCAATCAGAGAGCAGCTATCGCCGGTAGACGCCAAAGGCCACCAGGCTGAGGAAGATGGTGATGCCGACCAGGGAGGCGGTGGCCGGGGCGGTGAAGAACTGCCGGTACTGAATCTGACAGTACCACAGCACCGAGAGCATCAGGACCAGCAGTGGAACCATCAGGCTGCCTACGTTCAGAGCCACCTGCACCTGGTCCCCGGGCCGCGGGCCCCCCACGGCCCCCTGGCCGGCGCTCTGGGAGATATGGCAGTGCAGGACGCAGTTATGGACCAGGTTCAGAGAGGCCAGCGTCTGAGCGTCGTCCTGTAGGAGTTGGCCCTGGTAGATGAGGCGGACCTGCTGCTCCTGGCCCGCAAAGTAGGTCCTGAAGGAGACAGGGAGACAGAGGGGTCACGGAACGGGTCTGGAAGGACCGTCTCTTTGAAAACTGTAGTACTGACTGTAGTAGTTGGTGTAGTACACACTAGTAGCGGGTGCAGTAGTATGTACCATCAGATGTACCCACTAGTAGTGGGTGTGGTAGTACATAGCAGCTAGAAGTAGTGCAGTTTGGGGTAGTCGCTGGTACCAGTATGTACCGTTCGGTGTGGCTGCTAGTAGTATGTACCGTTAGATGTAGCCACTAGTAGTAGTAGTAGTAGTAGTACTGTTAGATGTAGCCACTAGTAGTATGTACCGTTAGATGTAGCCACTAGTAGTAGTAGTAGTACTGTTAGATGTAGCCACTAGTAGTAGTATGTACCGTTTGATGTAGCGACTGGTATTAGTAGTATGTACCGTTTGATGTAGCCACCAGTAGTAGTAGTAGTACGTACCGTTTGATGTAGACACTAGTAGTAGTACGTACCGTTTGATGTAGAGACTAGTACTAGTACGTACAGTTTTATGTAGCGACTAGTAGTAGTAGTACGTACCGTTTGATGTAGAGACTAGTACTAGTACGTATCGTTTGATGTAGAGACTAGTACTAGTACGTATCGTTTGATGTAGACTAGTACTAGTACGTATCGTTTGGTGTAGTGACTAGTAGTAGTAGTAGTAGTATTACGTACCGTTTGATGTAGCCACTAGTAATAGTAGTACGTACCGTTGGATGTAGCCACTAGTAGTAGTAGTAGTACCGTTTGATGTAGCTACTAGTAGTAGTAGTAAGTACCGTTGGATGTAGCCACTAGTAGTAGTAGTAGTACCGTTTGATGTAGCTACTAGTAGTAGTAGTACGTACCGTTGGATGTAGCCACTAGTAGTAGTAGTAGTACCGTTTGATGTAGCTACTAGTAGTAGTAGTACGTACCGTTGGATGTAGCCACTAGTAGTAGTAGTAGTAGTAGTAGTACCGTTTGATGTAGCCACTAGTAGTAGTAGTACCGTTTGATGTAGCCACTAGTAGTAGTAGTACGTACCGTTTGATGTAGCTACTAGTAGTAGTAGTAGTACCGTTTGATGTAGCTACTAGTAGTAGTAGTACGTACCGTTGGATGTAGCTACTAGTAGTAGTAGTAGTACCGTTTGATGTAGCTACTAGTAGTAGTAGTAGTACCGTTTAATGTAGCTACTAGTAGTAGTAGTATGTACCGTTAGATGTAGCCACTAGTAGTAGTAGTAGTAGTAGTACTGTTAGATGTAGCCACTAGTAGTATGTACCGTTAGATGTAGCCACTAGTAGTAGTAGTAGTAGTAGTACTGTTAGATGTAGCCACTAGTAGTAGTACGTACCGTTTGATGTAGAGACTAGTACTAGTACGTACAGTTTGATGTAGAGACTAGTACTAGTACGTATCGTTTGATGTAGACTAGTACTAGTACGTATCGTTTGATGTAGTGACTAGTAGTAGTAGTAGTAGTATTACGTACCGTTTGATGTAGCGACTAGTAGTAGTACTGTATACAGTTTTATGTAGCGACTAGTAGTAGTAGTAGTAGTAGTACGTACCGTTTGATGTAGAGACTAGTACGTATCGTTTGATGTAGAGACTAGTACTAGTACGTATCGTTTGATGTAGACTAGTACTAGTACGTATCGTTTGATGTAGTGACTAGTAGTAGTAGTAGTAGTATTACGTACCGTTTGATGTAGCGACTAGTAGTAGTACTGTATACAGTTTTATGTAGCGACTAGTAGTAGTAGTAGTAGTAGTACGTACCGTTTGATGTAGAGACTAGTACGTATCGTTTGATGTAGAGACTAGTACTAGTACGTATCGTTTGATGTAGACTAGTACTAGTACGTATCGTTTGATGTAGTGACTAGTAGTAGTAGTAGTAGTATTACGTACCGTTTGATGTAGTGACTAGTAGTAGTAGTAGTAGTATTACGTACCGTTTGATGTAGCCACTAGTAGTAGTAGTAGTACCGTTTGATGTAGCTACTAGTAGTAGTAGTAGTACCGTTGGATGTAGCCACTAGTAGTAGTAGTAGTACCGTTTGATGTAGCCACTAGTAGTAGTAGTAGTACCGTTTGATGTAGCTACTAGTAGTAGTAGTAGTACCGTTTGATGTAGCCACTAGTAGTAGTAGTACGTACCGTTTGATGTAGCTACTAGTAGTAGTAGTAGTACCGTTTGATGTAGCCACTAGTAGTAGTAGTACGTACCGTTGGATGTAGCCACTAGTAGTAGTAGTAGTACCGTTTGATGTAGCCACTAGTAGTAGTAGTAGTAGTACGTACCGTTTGATGTAGCTACTAGTAGTAGTAGTACGTACCGTTTGATGTAGCCACTAGTAGTAGTAGTACGTACCGTTGGATGTAGCCACTAGTAGTAGTAGTACGTACGGTTTGATGTAACCACTAGTAGTAGTAGTAGTAGTACCGTTTGATGTAGCCACTAGTAGTAGTAGTACGTACCGTTGGATGTAGCCACTAGTAGTAGTAGTAGTACCGTTTGATGTAGCTACTAGTAGTAGTAGTACGTACCGTTGGATGTAGCCACTAGTAGTAGTAGTAGTACCGTTTGATGTAGCTACTAGTAGTAGTAGTACGTACGGTTTGATGTAACCACTAGTAGTAGTAGTAGTAGTACCGTTTGATGTAGCTACTAGTAGTAGTAGTAGTAGTACCGTTGGATGTAGCCACTAGTAGTAGTAGTAGTACCGTTTGATGTAGCCACTAGTAGTAGTAGTAGTACCGTTTGATGTAGCTACTAGTAGTAGTAGTAGTACCGTTTGATGTAGCCACTAGTAGTAGTAGTAGTACCGTTTGATGTAGCTACTAGTAGTAGTAGTAGTACCGTTTGATGTAGCTACTAGTAGTAGTAGTACGTACCGTTGGATGTAGCCACTAGTAGTAGTAGTACGTACCGTTTGATGTAGCTACTAGTAGTAGTAGTAGTACCGTTTGATGTAGCTACTAGTAGTAGTAGTACGTACCGTTGGATGTAGCCACTAGTAGTAGTAGTAGTACCGTTTGATGTAGCCACTAGTAGTAGTAGTAGTACCGTTTGATGTAGCCACTAGTAGTAGTAGTACGTACCGTTTGATGTAGCTACTAGTAGTAGTAGTAGTACCGTTTGATGTAGCCACTAGTAGTAGTAGTACGTACCGTTATATGTAGACACTAGTAGTAGTACGTACCGTTTGATGTTCCGACTAGTAGTAGTAGTACGTACCGTTTGATGTTGCGACTAGTAGTAGTAGTACGTACCGTTTGATGTAGCCACTAGTAGTAGTAGTAGTACGTACCGTTTGATGTAGCCACTAGTAGTAGTAGTAGTACGTACCGTTTGATGTAGCCACTAGTAGTAGTAGTACCGTTTGATGTAGCCACTAGTAGTAGTAGTAGTACGTACCGTTCGATGTAGAAACTAGTAGTAGTAGTACGTACCGTTATATGTAGACACTAGTAGTAGTACGTACCGTTTGATGTTCCGACTAGTAGTAGTAGTACGTACCGTTTGATGTTGCGACTAGTAGTAGTAGTACGTACCGTTTGATGTAGCCACTAGTAGTAGTAGTAGTACGTACCGTTTGATGTAGCCACTAGTAGTAGTAGTAGTACGTACCGTTTGATGTAGCCACTAGTAGTAGTAGTACCGTTTGATGTAGCCACTAGTAGTAGTAGTAGTACGTACCGTTCGATGTAGAAACTAGTAGTAGTAGTACGTACCGTTATATGTAGACACTAGTAGTAGTACGTACCGTTTGATGTTCCGACTAGTAGTAGTAGTACGTACCGTTTGATGTTGCGACTAGTAGTAGTAGTAGTACCGTTTGATGTAGCCACTAGTAGTAGTAGTACCGTTCGATGTAGAAACTAGTAGTAGTAGTACGTACCGTTATATGTAGACACTAGTAGTAGTAGTACGTACCGTTCGATGTAGAAACTAGTAGTAGTACGTACCGTTTGATGTTCCGACTAGTAGTAGTAGTACGTACCGTTTGATGTTGCGACTAGTAGTAGTAGTACGTACCGTTTGATGTAGCCACTAGTAGTAATAGTACCGTTTGATGTAGCCACTAGTAGTAGTACCGTTCGATGTAGAAACTAGTAGTAGTAGTACGTACCGTTATATGTAGACACTAGTAGTAGTACGTACCGTTTGATGTTCCGACTAGTAGTAGTAGTACGTACCGTTTGATGTTGCGACTAGTAGTAGTAGTACGTACCGTTTGATGTAGCCACTAGTAGTAGTACCGTTCGATGTAGAAACTAGTAGTAGTAGTACGTACCGTTATATGTAGACACTAGTAGTAGTAGTAGTACCGTTTGATGTAGCCACTAGTAGTAGTAGTACGTACCGTTATATGTAGCCACTAGTAGTAGTAGTACGTACCGTTATATGTAGCCACTAGTAGTAGTAGTAGTAGTACCGTTTGATGTAGCCACTAGTAGTAGTAGTACGTACCGTTTGATGTAGCCACTAGTAGTAGTAGTATGTACCGTTATATGTAGCCACTAGTAGTAGTAGTAGTACCGTTTGATGTAGCCACTAGTAGTAGTAGTACGTACCGTTTGATGTAGCCACTAGTAGTAGTAGTATGTACCGTTTGATGTAGCCACTAGTAGTAGTAGTACGTACCGTTATATGTAGCCACTAGTAGTAGTAGTAGTACCGTTTGATGTAGCCACTAGTAGTAGTAGTACGTACCGTTTGATGTAGCCACTAGTAGTAGTAGTACGTACCGTTATATGTAGCCACTAGTAGTAGTAGTACGTACCGTTTGATGTAGCCACTAGTAGTAGTAGTACGTACCGTTTGATGTAGCCACTAGTAGTAGTAGTACGTACCGTTATATGTAGCCACTAGTAGTAGTAGTACGTACCGTTATATGTAGCCACTAGTAGTAGTAGTACGTACCGTTTGATGTAGCCACTAGTAGTAGTAGTACGTACCGTTTGATGTAGCCACTAGTAATCGTAGTACGTACCGTTATATGCAGCGACTAGTAGTATTAGTACGTACCGTTTGATGTAGCCACTAGTAGTAGTAGTACGTACCGTTTGATGTAGCCACTAGTAATCGTAGTACGTACCGTTATATGCAGCGACTAGTAGTAGTAGTACGTACCGTTTGATGTAGCCACTAGTAATCGTAGTACGTACCGTTTGATGTAGCCACTAGTAGTAGTAGTACGTACCGTTTGATGTAGCCACTAGTAGTAGTAGTACGTACCGTTATATGTAGCCACTAGTAGTAGTAGTACGTACCGTTATATGTAGCCACTAGTAGTAGTAGTACGTACCGTTTGATGTAGCCACTAGTAGTAGTAGTACGTACCGTTTGATGTAGCCACTAGTAGTAGTAGTACGTACCGTTATATGTAGCCACTAGTAGTAGTAGTACGTACCGTTATATGTAGCCACTAGTAGTAGTAGTACGTACCGTTTGATGTAGCCACTAGTAGTAGTAGTACGTACCGTTTGATGTAGCCACTAGTAATCGTAGTACGTACCGTTATATGCAGCGACTAGTAGTAGTAGTACGTACCGTTTGATGTAGCCACTAGTAGTAGTAGTACGTACCGTTTGATGTAGCCACTAGTAATCGTAGTACGTACCGTTATATGCAGCGACTAGTAGTAGTAGTACGTACCGTTTGATGTAGCCACTAGTAGTAGTAGTAGGTACCGTTTGATGTAGCCACTAGTAATCGTAGTACGTACCGTTATATGCAGCGACTAGTAGTAGTAGTACGTACCGTTTGATGTAGCCACTAGTAATCGTAGTAGGTACCGTTTGATGTAGCCACTAGTAATCGTAGTAGGTACCGTTTGATGTAGCCACTAGTAGTAGTAGTACGTACCGTTATATGTAGCCACTAGTAGTAGTAGTACGTACCGTTATATGTAGCCACTAGTAGTAGTAGTACGTACCGTTTGATGTAGCCACTAGTAGTAGTAGTACGTACCGTTATATGCAGCGACTAGTAGTAGTAGTACGTACCGTTATATGTAGCCACTAGTAGTAGTAGTACGTACCGTTATATGTAGCCACTAGTAGTAGTAGTACGTACCGTTTGATGTAGCCACTAGTAGTAGTAGTACGTACCGTTATATGTAGCCACTAGTAGTAGTAGTACGTACCGTTTGATGTAGCCACTAGTAGTAGTAGTACGTACCGTTATATGTAGCCACTAGTAGTAGTAGTACGTACCGTTATATGTAGCCACTAGTAGTAGTAGTACGTACCGTTTGATGTAGCCACTAGTAGTAGTAGTACGTACCGTTTGATGTAGCCACTAGTAATCGTAGTACGAACCGTTATATGCAGCGACTAGTAGTAGTAGTACGTACCGTTTGATGTAGCCACTAGTAATCGTAGTACGAACCGTTATATGCAGCGACTAGTAGTAGTAGTACGTACCGTTTGATGTAGCCACTAGTAATCGTAGTACGTACCGTTTGATGTAGCCACTAGTAGTACTAGTACGTACCGTTTGATGTAGCCACTAGTAATCGTAGTACGAACCGTTATATGTAGCCACTAGTAGTAGTAGTACGTACCGTTTGATGTAGCCACTAGTAGTAGTAGTACGTACCGTTTGATGTAGCCACTAGTAATCGTAGTACGAACCGTTATATGCAGCGACTAGTAGTAGTAGTACGTACCGTTTGATGTAGCCACTAGTAATCGTAGTACGTACCGTTTGATGTAGCCACTAGTAGTACTAGTACGTACCGTTTGATGTAGCCGATGGTGTCCTGCGGTTGGACCTGGGCCGTCCTCTCCGTGTCGTTCAGGAACTTCAGTCGAACCACCATGTTCCTCTCACTCTCTCCTCCTGGCCTTCTCGCCCCGCCTCTCTCCTCAGACTCCGCCTCTTCTTGGGCGGAGGGGCCGGTGGGCGGGGCCTCCGACAGAGGGCCGGCTGAGCCACTGGGGGTGAGGGGCGTGTCCTGTGGTGAGGGGGTGGGGCCTGTGGAGGAAGTGAAGAGCTGCTCTGGAGGGTCGGCGGTGCGGGTGGAGACCCAGGCCAGCAGCAGCACCATCAGCAGCAGCAGGAAGCTGAAGAGCAGCGTCACCTCGTCCCCGACGCCTTCGATCAGAGCCATCGCCCGCCGCAACGCACCTGCACACAGGGCGGAGCTTCACTGACCAAATGGTTCCCTTTAAAGAGTCCAACCCAGAGGAGCTCCAAAGGTCCGCTCTGGCTGGATCTGTCACCATGGTAACTGATGCTAGAACCCATAGAGCAGCCCCGCCTCCCAACCAATCAGAGTCTTTACAGACGAACTGAGATTCGTTGCTAATGCGAATCGGTCTGAACAGGCCACGCCATGTGTAGAAGGTCCAGCTAACGATTGATCGGCTAATCAGCTAATCAGCTAATGAGCTAATGCGCTAATGAGCTAATGCGCTAATGAGCTACGCTCCCGCCATTAAATGAGTCCCATCCTTCTAAAAGACGGGGCTTCAGCTTTATCCACTGATCTCCATTCATCTCCTGGTAGTACGGGGTGGAATGAAGCCACTGGCCGCCATATTGGTACTCCCTAGTTAGACCGGTCAGAATGTAAACAATCCGTGCGCTACATCATCAAACAACGGTGATGTTTTCATTTTCAGGGAAACTTTTAAAATCAAGATAAATTCATCACTTTGACACAGACTGAATGTTTCCCAGCATCAGATTAAAAATAGGCCCATCATCGCAGAGCCAGCATGACGCCTATAAATCAGGTAATATAATATATTACACAAATAAAATGAACGTGTTAATGGAGCAGAATAATACAGGAGGGCTAAATGTGCTAAATTGATTATGTACATGTGATATATATGGATTTAATTATATATATATATATATATATATATATATATATATATATATATATATATATATATATATATATATATATATATATATATATACATATATATATATATACACACACACAGCCTGGCTAAAAAAAAAAGTGGCCACCTGGATTGAACTAAGCAAAGGTAGGAGCCTCCTATTGGATAATTACTGCTGGGTGATTATCTTTCAACTGGAAACAAGTTATTTAACCCCAACTGGTGCAATGATTTGCTTCTCATTTCCTAAACAATCGTGTGGAAAGACACACCCCGTGTTCGTGGAAAAGATGTTAGTCTGTTTGAGAAGGGTCAAATCATTGGCACGCATCAAGCAGAGAAAACATCTAAAGAGATGCAGAAACTACTAAAACTGGATTAAGAACTTTATTAAAAACTGGAAGGATAGTGGGGACCCATCATCTTCAAGGGAGAAATGGAAATAAATCCTGAATGTTGGTGATCGACGATCACTTAAACGTGTGGTGAGATCAAATCGAAGAAAAACAACAGCATTTCCACACGCACAATGCGAAGGGAACTCAAGGGATTGGGACTGAACAGCTGTGTAGCCGTAAGAAAACCACTAATCAGTGACGCTAACCGGGAAAAAAAGGCTTCAGTTTGCAGGGAGCATAAAGATTGGACTGTGGAGCAATGGAAGAAGGTCATGTGGTCTGATGAGTCCAGATTGTTCCAGAGTGATGGGCCAATCAGGGTAAGAAGAGAGGCAGGTGAAGTGATGCCCCCACCATGCCTAGTGCCTACTGTACAAGCCTGTGGGGGTGGGGTTATGATCTGGGGTTGCTGCAGTTGCTCAGGTCTAGGTTCAGCAACAGGATGAGCTCAAAGAATGAGGTCAACTGACTACCTGAATATCCTGAATGACCAGGTTATTCCATCAATGGACTTTCCCTGATGGCACAGGCAGATTCCAAGATGACAATGCCAGGATTCATCGGGCTCAAATTGTGAAAGACTGGTTCAGGGAGCATGACTCAGCGAATGCGTGCCGTAATCAAAGCTAAAGGCGGTCCAACAAAGTATAAGGAGAGAATGATCTTTTTATTTGTGATGGCGACTTAATATATATATATATATATATATATATATATATATATATATATATATATATATATATATATATATATATATTAGGGATGGAACTGTTTATGAAAACCGTCAGAACCGTTCGGTTCGACCATCTCGGTTCGGTTCGCGTGTGTTTCGTTTGGTTCATGCGCTGCTCCTTTTTCTCATAGGCGAAGCGTTTACACTCCAGAGCAGAAGGTGGTGGTACTGCGACCAAAGCCAACCACCAGTAGTAAACAAGAAGAAGAAGAAGCGAAGCAGCGTAGCCGGGTGTAGCAGAATAAAATCAGTTGTTGTGGAGAATTGTGTAGGTATGGCGAGTGGGAAAGAACAGGAGTTGGAAGACGCGCCAGCAGCACTTTATAGGTCTGCTGTATGGGACCACTTTGCATTTAGAGTGACCTACGATGACAGCGGAGAGAAAGCTGGGGATAAAAGTGCAACAGTGTGCAAGCATTGTGCAACACGTTTTGTTTATGCTAACAGCAACACGACCAACATGTCAGGCTAACAATCAACATAAACCGAACTGAAAACCGTGAATTTTGCGAACCGTTCCACCCCTAATATTGGCCTGTGTTCCATTAGCAGGCTCTAATAGTCTACAGGCCGGGGCTATAATTAGAACCAATGGTGTTCCTGGGCAGTCCTCAGCAACCTGTGATAGTAACACACACGGACCACAGGGGGGCAGTGTTTGCTAACCAATCCCAGCCATTAGCATGGGAAGTCCCATCCTTCCACAATGGTTCTGATGTGAAACACATGATCACCGGTAGGTCTGGTGGAAACCAGGCAGCGCTAAAAGAGTTTCATTGGTTGTTCTGAATCTGCAGCGCATCTGCAGCCCATCTGCAGCGGCCCTCTCTCGGCATAGCCGTGTGTGAAGCGTGTTGGTTAGCATTTTACTACATCGGTCGAATCTACAGGAGGAGAGTCTGATGTCGAGTCTGAAGTCATTAGAACTTGAGTAGGGACTTTGCCAAACTTTGCCAAATACAACAAAAAATCGCCATCATAGCCTGGCTATAGACCCGGCTGCCGTCAGCTTCGGAGCTCCGCTGGTTGCCACGGTCCTCTCAAGTTCGTCATATTTTCTTTTAAATTACGCATTAAATCTGTGAATGGGCCATATGGTGATGCTTAAAAGTATAAGGTTCTCGCCTCAAATGATCTTAAAACATACTTTTATTGAACAACAGCAACAGAAAAGAGAACATTTAACTTAGTACTCTGAGCTCTGTGAGTTAAGAAGATGGACCGCCAAGCCAACCAATGAGCAGAAGTTGACTCTCTAGGACACCCCCCCTCCTCATTTGCATAATGAGGCAGAAATGCAGAGAGAAATGTAAAAAGGGCAGAGAGAAATGTAAAAAGGGCAGAGAGAAATGTAAAAAGGGCAGAGAGAAATGTAAAAAGGACAGAGAGAAATGTAAAAAGGGCAGAGAGAAATGTAAAAAGGGCAGAGAGAAATGTAAAAAGGGCAGAGAGAAATGTAAAAAGGGCAGAGAGAAATGTAAAAAGGGCAGAGAGAAATGTAAAAAGGGCATAGAGAAATGTAAAAAGGGCATAGAGAAATGTAAAAAGGGCAGAGAAATGTAAAAAGGGCAGAGAGAAATGTAAAAAGGGCAGCGAGAAATGTAAAAGGGCATAGAGAAATGTAAAAAGGGCAGAGAGAAATGTAAAAAGGGCAGAGAGAAATGTAAAAAGGGCATAGAGAAATGTAAAAAGGGCAGAGAGAAATGTAAAAAGGGCAGAGAGAAATGTAAAAAGGGCAGAGAGAAATGTAAAAAGGGCAGAGAGAAATGTAAAAAGGGCAGAGAGAAATGTAAAAATGCATAGAGAAATGTAAAAGGGCATAGAGAAATGTAAAAAGGGCAGAGAGAAATGTAAAAGGGCATAGAGAAATGTAAAAAGGGCAGAGAGAAATGTAAAAAGGGCAGATAGAAATGTAAAAGGGCAGAGAGAAATGTAAAAAGGGCAGAGAGAAATGTAAAAATGCATAGAGAAATGTAAAAAGGGCAGAGAGAAATGTAAAAATGCATAGAGAAATGTAAAAAGGGCAGAGGGAAATGTAAAAAGGGCATAGAGAAATGTAAAAAGGGCATAGAGAAATGTAAAAAGGGCAGAGAGAAATGTAAAAAGGGCAGAGAGAAATGTAAAAAGGGCAGAGAGAAATGTAAAAAGGGCAGAGAGAAATGTAAAAGGGCAGAGAGAAATGTAAAAAGGGCAGAGAGAAATGTAAAAATGCATAGAGAAATGTAAAAAGGGCAGAGAGAAATGTAAAAATGCATAGAGAAATGTAAAAAGGGCAGAGAGAAATGTAAAAAGGGCATAGAGAAATGTAAAAAGGGCATAGAGAAATGTAAAAAGGGCAGAGAGAAATGTAAAAAGGGCAGAGAGAAATGTAAAAAGGGCAGAGAGAAAAGTAAAAAGGGCAGAGAGAAATGTAAAAAGGGCAGAGAGAAATGTAAAAAGGGCAGAGAGAAATGTAAAAGGGCAGAGAGAAATGTAAAAAGGGCAGAGAGAAATGTAAAAAGAGCAGAGAGAAATGTAAAAAGGACAGAGAGAAATGTAAAAAGGCCAGAGAGAAATGTAAAAAGGCCAGAGAGAAATGTAAAAAGGGCAGAGAGAAATGTAAAAGGGCAGAGAGAAATGTAAAAAGGGCAGAGAGAAATGTAAAAATGCATAGAGAAATGTAAAAAGGGCAGAGAGAAATGTAAAAAGGGCAGAGAGAAATGTAAAAAGGGCAGAGAGAAATGTAAAAAGGCATAGAGAAATGTAAAAGGGCAGAGAGAAATGTAAAAATGCATAGAGAAATGTAAAAAGGGCAGAGAGAAATGTAAAAAGGGCAGAGAGAAATGTAAAAAGGGCAGAGAGAAATGTAAAAAGGGCATAGAGAAATGTAAAAAGGGCAGAGAGAAATGTAAAAGGGCAGAGAGAAATGTAAAAGGGCAGAGAGAAATGTAAAAAGGGCAGAGAGAAATGTAAAAAGGCCAGAGAGAAATGTAAAAAGGGCAGAGAGAAATGTAAAAAGGGCAGAGAGAAATGTAAAAGGGCAGAGAGAAATGTAAAAAGGGCAGAGAGAAATGTAAAAATGCATAGAGAAATGTAAAAAGGGCAGAGAGAAATGTAAAAAGGGCAGAGAGAAATGTAAAAAGGGCAGAGAGAAATGTAAAA